TGTTTCCTGTATAGCCCTGGTCCCTGCTGGCAAGATTTGATTGGTTCGCACAGCCCTGCAAGGCAACTGGCTGTTGGCCTATTGCCTGTGTCGGACGATATACTTGGCTCCCTCTGATAGGTCCGGGGGGGATATAAGAAGGGGGGTTAGGAGAGGAGGAGGAGGAAGGCCAGAGAATAAAGAAGTCTAAAGACAAAGAAGGAGTCCCTGTCTTGTCTTTTCTCAGCGCCGGTCATACTATTGCAATTATTTTAAAGTGTTTTCAAAAGTACCATCCTAATAAGGTCACTCCCTACTTAAAAGTTTTCAATGGTCTCCTTCCTCCAGCAGAATGGCCCATGGAAGGCTGGCCTCTGTGTACTCATTCCATCACTACTGTCTGATCAAATCCTAATCTCCACCTTTGCTGGGAGCTCTCTGAGGTCCCTTCTTCTCTTACATCTCTGTACATGGGCTCTTCCTCCTGCTGGAAATACCGCCTTCCCCACTGACTCACCTGGCTAATATTTATTTGTCCTTGAGCTAGCTCAGATGTCACCTTTCCCAGAATCCTCTCACTAACTCGATCAGCTTGACTTAGAAAGATCCCTCCCCAGGCTCTTGCTACCTGTGTCCTACTGTATCATGTTTCTAATTGTATTCTGCAGATATTTTTTCCTTCCTGCACTTTCTTTCCCATGGAATATGTAGTCCTTTAGGAAAAGAAATAGAATTATTGTCTCCAGTATCCCCAATATACATTACAGAGGAAGAGTCCCTCCCAAAATGCTTGGAATCTTAAAAATGACTTTAAAATGAAGGCTTGCCTGGCAAGTGCAAGGGCCTGAGTTCAATGCCCAGTTGCACTAAAATAAATAAATAAATAAATAAAGGCTTAGTAATGAGGGGACTTAAGTGTGAGGAGGCTTAAAAATGCTTCATGAAAAATACCTGTTCCGTGTTATGCCTAAAATGTTTGATATTCAGACAGATAGTGAGCTTAAGTTTAACAGCCTAGGTTGTATGGTAATAATAATAAGCTTCTCTTCTGGAGGGTTAGCAACCTAATTTTGCAGACCAAAAATTAGACAAAAAGGAGGGCTGCAAGGAAAGCCAACATTTTGGCCCTAGTCTTCCAAGGTCAATTAAGATTAAGGACATATGAGAACTTGTACTGTAATGACATGTAACTCAGTTTTGTCCCAAATTTTCTGATCAAGGAGATTATGGGGCCAAATAAGAAAGTGATTGATGATGTAGAGTGTGTCTGAGGAGAGTCACATGGAGAGAGAACATTCTCTCAGACTTTCACAGAGAGCACATTGGCCAAGCAATGGTCGTGACTCATCCACACAGCTGATACTGACAAAGGATCTACAATCTGAGGTACAGGGTCTTAGGATAAATCCTGAAGGGATTTGACTGACCTTATCAGATCCAAAGCTACAACTCTTGTTGCATAGGTCTTGCTTTATCTTGGTCTAAACCATCCAACAGAAAAGTATAAAAACGAAGTATAAGAAGTAAAGCCATGGTGTTATGTTGAGCGGTAGGGGACTCAGGTCAACAATTTCTGACATTGCCAGTCAAGCAGAAGACCCAATACTATTATGGACTACTGGACTCTTTCGTAATTTTTTGTTGAGTTAACACACCTATAATATTCAAATGACAGAACTAAACAAAAAAGGGGATACAGATGAATGTCCATTTTGTATCTGTGTATTCAAAATGGTTAGGATAGATATATAGT